GTCCCCAGTACAGGCTATGAAGGAAGCAGCCAATCAATGATTCTCTCTCATCAATATTTCTATCTCTCTCTCCCTCTCCCTTCCTCTCTGAAATCAATAAAAATATATTTTTAAAATAAATAAAAATAAAAGTCTCAGGATCTGTTTCTGGGAAAACTCAAACTAACAAGGCTTAAATCTAAACTTTGGATTTCATTCTAAGTTTGTTAGGAAGAAATTGGAGACTTTTTAAGCAAAGGAGTATCATTATCTGAGTTACTTTTTAATTAAAAATGTCACTTTAGCTGCTTTTTAGGGAATTGAGTTGAAAGGAAGCAGCAAGACCTGCTAGAACAGTGGTTCTCAACCTTGGCTGCACATTAGAATCACCTGGGAATCTTTTTAAAATCCTGATTTCTGGGCCTCATCCTCCGGAAATTCTGTTTCTTTGTTACTAATGTTGTGGCCTCACCCCATAACAAAGAAACAGAATTTCCGGAGGATGAGGCCCAGAAATCAGGATTTTAAAAAGATTCCCAGGTGATTATAATGTGCAGCCAAGGTTGAGAACCACTGTGCTAGAAGAATATTCCAATAGTATAGGCCCCAAATGTGGATATATCAAATTTGTTTAATTTATGTGAGGAAAAAATATGGTGAATGCATATGTTTTGAGAGCAAGTTGACAACATTTAAGGCTTGCATGGAATAATAGTGTAAGGTAAAGGGAGGAATAAAAGATTAATTTTAGATTTCAGGTTATTTGCTGTTTAAATGGGATGAGGAAGGCTGGGAAAAGGGCAAGTTTGGAGGTAAAATCAATATTTCAATATTTTTTGCCTATGTTAAGATTAAGATGTCAAGTATTCAGCCAAATATATTTTAAAGTGCATCTGGAGTTAAAAGAAGTTGGAACTGGAGATCCAGTTTTGAGAGCTACTGTCACAAATAAAATATTTATAGTCAAGGGTCTAAATGAGATCATGTGGAACAGGGGTCCTCAAACTACGGCCCGCGGGCCACATGCAAATACAAATATTGTATTTGTTCCCGTTTTGTTTTTTTACTTCAAAATAAGATATGTGCAGTGTGCATAGGAATTTGTTCCTAGTTTTTTTTTTTTTTAACTATAGTCCGGCCCTCCAACGGTCTGAGTTTATAGTCAAGGGTCTAAATGAGATCATGTGGAAGTATCTAGAAAAGGAAAAGGGTGATCTCTATAGAATACTGTATCCCTCAGAGGATGACACACCCCAATGGAGACCAGGAAGGAGGGCTGTTGAGGTAAGAACACCACCAATGAAGTGCCAGGGGAAAAAAGCTTTCTGTAAGGAGTCTTGTTCAAGTGACATAAGTAGAGGTTGGTATATATCAGGGATATTATTAGTTATCTTTTCAAGATCTGGCTCAGCAAAGTTGGGGAAGCCTGACTAAAGAGGATTGACAAATAAATGATATATGTGAGGTGGGAAATGGAAACGAGAATTATACATATTTCTTTCCAGAGGCGTTTGTTGTGAAGCAGAGGTGGGAAGTGGGAGTGTGTGGTATGATATGGTGCAATCAGACTTGGAAGATTGCTGAGTGCTTATAGGAAATATTCAGTTTTTAGAAGTTTTACCCTTCCATTTATTATTTTCCTGATGTTATGGACTGAGTGTTTGTGTCTCCATAAAAATTTATATATTGAAACTCTTATCTCCCAACATGAAGGTATTTGGAGGTCGGGTCTTTGGGAGATAAATAGGGTTAGGTGATGGGTTTTATGCCCTTATAAAAGTCAACAGAAAGTTTGCTTCCGCTCTGCTCTCTACCATGGGAGGTGTCCCACCACTACCACCAAGACTGACCTTATCCTTCAGCTCCCTAATGGCTTATTGGCATACTCCATTTGAGCCATTAGTAAGCAAAGTGAAGAAACCACGTAGGTTTCTGATAAACAAATGAAGTAATAATGCAAGTTAAGAAAAATATTCCCCCTGGTATTCTGTTTCTTTAAGACAAGCCTTCCCCATAATGACCAAGGAGTAACAAAAGTATATTGAAAAAGATTAATGTCTATAAACCATAAAAGACTAAGCTGTCCAATATTTATCAGGACTCACTATCTGGGCAGTGACCAAAGTCCCACTTCCATCCATTTCTCCTCTCAGTCTACATTCTTGTCCTGTGTTTCAGTTCGTCTATGCCTGCCTGTCCGTTTTTAAAAATAAAAACTATTAATTTATATCATTAATTTCTACCGAGGTGGTAGCAGTATTACTTCTGCCAGCATATTTGACACTTTGTTAGGGGTTTTCAGGAATGACAAATCTTTAACAAAAAGGGAGGCAACACTAATGATAATGAAAAATACATTGTTAGAGACTGGCAGTAAAGATATTACAGCTCCTCTGAAAATATTTTCTGAACACCTGGGAGTTGGGTCAGGAGGATTTCTCAGCTGTAACTTGAAAAGCATGCCGCATAATAATTAATACTTACATGTAAGCAGGCCCTGACTGAAGTAGCTACAAGTTGAACATTGCTAATTCATGTCTTACTTTGTTGGGACACCTGCTCTCCTCCTACTATGATGTTTAAAATAACAACCATAACAATGACAACAAGACTTTAAAAAGACAATAGAACTACCAACCATTAATAGAAGCACTCCATGCGAATAAAAAATGTTATTGGTAGGAGTCATACTTTGGATGACATTGTGGAGCACCTATGTGTAATCTGTGAAACATACTCAAAAGACAGTAAATTGTAATTCTTATGTTGGCTTTGAATTTCACCCTCTGATATAGACTACTGATACCAGGAGACTAGGTCAGAATGGATTTGGAAATGGATGTTGATGCAAAGTGGTTAAAAACGGCATATTGCCTGACTGGTGTTGCTCAGTGGTTGAGCGTTGACCTATGAACCAGGAGGTCAGGGTTCGATTCCTGGTCAGGGCACATGCCTGGGTTGCAGGCTGGATCCCCAGTAGGGGGCGTGCAAGAGGCAGCTGATCAATGATTCTCATCATTGATGTTTCTCTCTCTCTCCCTCTCCCTTCCTCTCTTTGCAATTAAAAACAAAAACAAAACAAACAACAACAAAAAACAGCATCTTTATTGGGCCCACAGAGCTGCTCGAATTTCTGGCCTAGGAATTGAGGACACTGGAGGAGGACATCCTGGTGAAGTTGCTGTAGCTGTGGACCCAACTGCTGCTTCACACCTTCAAAGTGAGCCAGCCCATCAGTGACACTGTGTATGAGCGGCAGCGGCCAAGGCCCCCCTCAGAGGCCCTTGGGGGGTGTAAAGACTGCTAGTTTACTTCTATTTCTCCATTCCAGATCTTGCACAAATATTTTATGTGGCGAACCCTAACCAGGAATCATGCAGGGAAGGAAATTCTGGGGCAATGTAGTTGCAGCTTAGCTAAGCTGAAACAGTACAAAGCCACCACAATTGGTGGTAATGGAAATTTGTAAAGCTGCCCAAGATGTGCATTCTCCCCTATTTATGGAGCTGCTGTGCTGAGCATTTGCTGAGTAATTAAAATCTCACCATCAGAGGTGTCATTATTAGAACCCTGTTGGTGCTCTCAGATGTGAAGTCAGGCATGGGCCCTCACTGCAGAGCATCCCCTGGATTCTTGCAGCTTATCTGCAGCCAGTGATTCTTTTGATGGCACAGCAATACAAATATACACTTTATAGCTATAAAATGAAGAATATGCTTATATCTGTAAAAGCTAATAACTCCTCACTCCTCCCTTTTCTTTTCTATGCATGTGCACACACACCAACAAACACACACACACACACACACACACACATACACACACACACGAATATACACAGAACATAGCCTGAGGTAATACCATACATTACCTCAACATTAAAGAGAAAAATTGTTCTGGGTGAGTGTATTTAAGAACCTGTGGATGTGCATAGAGAAGACACATGTGCAAATAAAATGGAAAGGAATTTGGTTTTGATCTAATGGCTTCATCGATTTTTCCTAAGCAGGATTGTAATTACCTGCACGGGAGCTTAAAATAATATGTGCAGTAACTTTCAGGAGTTATCTGATTAAATGAATATGTTATTTGTATTCTATATGGAAATGAGCTTGTGTGTTTTGACTTTATGCATGAGGCTTGGACCCCCTGGGTATCCTGTGGGGACCAGGCACAGCTGATTTCTTCATCTGCAAGGCAGAAAGCCTGACAGCCACAGATGTGAGCTCTCCAGCTTTAGGTGTGAAAGCTGCTTTGTGAAGCCAGAATTCAGGCAATTAAGCAAGTTCCCCTCCTGGTAAGCTGGTGGTTAGCCAGGCCACTGTCAGTGCGGCCCACACCGCTCCCGGCAGAGGGCTTGGCGAGATGGAACACCTGAAACTTCTTGCTGGAAAAGAACAAAGACTCAAAACGAAAATGCTAAGGACCTCCTTTATAAAATTTCTTTAGCCTTTAGCTCTGTATTCTACAGGCAGAATCAAATAAAATAGAAAGGACCCAAGAAAATATAATATCATCAGTAATCATGAATAACTTCTTAGAGTTGCCAAGCACATAAGTTATGCATTGCCTATGGTTATATATTAATTATATATTATATTGTATCTAATGTAATTTTTGCAACAACCCTGTAAAGCCTGTATCAATATTGCTGGTTAGAGATTAGGAAACTGGCTCAGAGTGGTTTGGTGCCTTATTATCCGATATACAGACTGCAAATGGCCACGCCAGAAGTGAAACACAGATTTCCCTAATATCAGTCCCAGCCAGGGTCCACTTTAAATCCTTTCTAAGCAGACAGGACACACATGAGTTAGTAAAATAAATAGCCAATTTGACTTGGCTCTCCAGCACAGCTGTCTTATATTATGCCATGGTTTTAATGCATCATTTATAAAACTAGTTCTACCTTGTCTTTATTTATTCATTAGTTTAAGAGTTACTAATATTGTGAATTGGCACATAGCACTTTGCCAACATTTTGAAATAAATATTTAAATTGTGAATAATTTGTATTCCAGATGAGGAAGACGGAAAGGGAAAACGAAATTGTAAGCAGCCACATAATCAGGACTTCTGCTAGGGGTTTGCTAGTATGCCTTTTGCCACCAACAATGAGACTGCTGTCTCCAACAATGAGACATATACTGCCCCCAGAGGAGACCAACGTCAAAGGTAAAGAACTTTTCCGAAGGACAAGGAGAAAATAAGTGGCTCTGCTGGGATTCGAACACTGGCCTCTCTGATTCTAAGGCATGGGCTCACTCACTACTTCTCAAGCATTGTTTTCTAACTTTATAACAACTCCATAAAGTCATAAACTATTCACCTTATTTTGCAAATGAGGAAAATGATACAAGTTAACTTAAATTGCATGAAATCTCAAGGATATTAATTGGCAGAGAAGGAAATCAAATATCTGACTTCAATGCTTGTGCTCCTTCCACTAACTTAACAGATTCCTGCAAATTGCTGAGTATGCAGGATGTCCCCAAAAGATGTATCCACACTTTAACAGCTGATAGCTCAATTTTGAAAGTGAAATGTATTTTAATAAACACTGCCTTGATAATTATTCAAAGTTCATGTGTACATTTCTTTGGGACAACTTATATACATGGGAATGTAAACAAACCATAGAAAATAAATTACTTTTTTAAGACAATCGAGTAAAAATAACTCCTAGAGCCGTTAAAGACTGCTGAGCCCTCCGGTACCTGCCACTAAAGGCGGACACAGTTTGGCGAGTTCTTTTTCTATTAAGCTTCGAAGAATACTGCATTTTGAGTTTTTCATCTTTTTTTGCCAATATTCTCATAAGCACAAGCTTAACTGAGATACTCCTTAGAAAAAACATTTTTTGTAGTAAACAGAAAATGTAGCTAGATGCAGCATACTATAAATTGCATGCTGTGTTACTTTAAGTGGAAAGAAAAGAACCTCAAGGACCACGAAATGAAATATACACGTCACTATCAAGAAAAAAACAATGGGACAATAAGTTTACTGAAAATGCCTTTCATTTGAAAAAAAGTCTACACTGACTTTTAACATCAATTATTCTCACCGAGAATTATGTCAGTTAGTGTTACACTTTACCACTTCAATTGCTCCATGAGGACTAAAAATTGAATAAGTAATATTAATTTAATACATTAATATTATTTTGGGTAATAATTAATGGAAATAAACTATTTGATCCCACCCTTTTAGAACTGAGTTGCTTTCATCGTAATTGTCTTTCAAAAGCACTTTATGTATATATTGACCCATGCAAACACACATGCGCCAGGAGGTGGAGCTTAATTTCCTGCTTGGACAAAACTCTGCACCCCAGGCCACTGCCAGCAGACTTGAGGGTAGACTAGGTTTCTCAACTCCTCACTTTCTTTTTTTTTTTTTTTTTAAATATATTTTATTGATTTCTTACAGAGAGGAAGGGAGAGAGATAGAGAGCCAGAAACATCGATGAGAGAGAAACACCGATCAGCTGCCTCCTGCACATCTCCCACTGGGGATGTGCCCGCAACCCAGGTACATGCCCTTGACCGGAATCGAACCTGGGACCCTTCAGTCCGCAGGCCGACGCTCCATCCACTGAGCCAAACCGGTTTCGGCTCAACTCCTCACTTTCAAAGAACAGAGTAGGGAAAGCAAAGAGTAACTGTATAGTGTAAAACCTGTGAAAAACTACCCTAACAAGAGATGAAACAACTAGTGAAACAGTGACATGTTTCATGTGTCCCCAAAATAATGTGAACAGAGGGCAGTTCACCTGTACACTACTTCTTCCAAAAATCCACAGCCCTGGTTTAATCATGGAGAAAATATCAGACAACCCAGATGGCAGAACATTGCAGAGGATAGTACCTCTACTGTCAAGGTCATGAAAACAAAGGCAAATTGATACCAGAGACCGAGGAGAGATGACAACTGAAAACCAATTACAGCTACATGAAACACCCTGAATTGGATCCTCAAACAGAAAGAGACCATTATGGAAAAACTGGTAAATCCAAAATAAAGTCTCAAGTTTAGTTAATAGTAATGTGTCAATGTCAGATTCTTTTTTTTTTGAGAACTTCACCACACTTTGTGTATCACCAGTACAGTGAAGCACCATGTTTAGTACTCTCCAATTGCATCTTTATTCATTTCATAGTAGTAAATATTAAAATACAATATATAATATTTGTATGCATATCTTTATGCCTTTATTGAAACTATTAGCTTTAGAATAGTTTTATATTTCATTTTTAACTTTATATAAATGATAAAAATTCTACAACTTTACTTTGCGTGGGGTATAGTATTAAAGCTTCATCTATACTTACATGAAAGCTTTCATCCACTTATTAAGTTGTTTGTAATATTCCAGTATAATAATATATTTTATTTCTCCTTACCTATTAATGAATATTTTGGGTGTCTCTAATTTTCCACTATTTATAAACAATAATGCTTAGGCACAATCCTGTATAGATTTCCTTAGTTATGAGAGTTTCTCTAGAATGGAAAAAAGGCAAATAGTAAATGTTTTAGGTTTTCCTTTCCAAGAGGCAACATCAAGACTATTATATAGGTACTTGAATAATGACTTAAAATATTACCATAACAAATAAGCAGCAAGGCCATAAACAAATAGGCAAGTGATTAGATTTGGACTGGGACCCAGTTTATCTATTCTAGAATTGAATTGTATTCTAGAATACATAGTGGGCATAGAATTTCTGGATCATAGGCTATTTAAATATTCAACTACATATTACAAAGTGGATTAACAAATTTCTTATTCCCTTAGTATTAGATATAATTTTAGGTTGCTCTATAGTCTCCCCAGCATCTAAACTAATAAAAGGGTAATATGGTAATTAGACTGGACATTGTCCAGATGTCCTTCTGGACAAAGCCACAGTGGCGGGGGCCGAGACAGAGGTGGTTAGGGGCAATCAGGCCGGCAGGGGAGGGCAGTTAGGAGTGATCAGGCTGGCAGGAGAGGGCAGTTAGGGGTGATCAGGCCAGCAGGGGAGCAGTTAGGGAGCAATCAGGCAGGCAGACAGGTGAGCAGTTAGGAGCCAGAGGTCCCAGATTGTGAGAGGGATGTCCTGGATTGGAGAGGGTACAGGCCAGGCTGAGGGACTGCCCCACCCCCGCCCCTGTGCACGAATTTTGTACACCTGGCCTCTAGTTTGATAATAAGAAAGTTATCACTATGATTTTAATTTGCACTTCCCTCATTGTTATTAAGCCTGATCATATTTATATGGTTGGTTGCCATTTGTGTTTTTCTCCATTGAAATTGTCCGGTTATATCTTTTGTCCATTTTTTTCTAAGGGGATGTTTCTCTTTTTCTTATTGATTTGGAATTCTTTATGTATTCCACATACTAATTATCTTTTTAGTATGAGTATGTGAGCAGCAAATATATTCTCCCTATTTTCATCTTCTTCTTACATTTTATGTGAACCTTTATATAGTTTTCAATTTTTATGTAATTTAGTTTAACAATCTTTCCTTGCCAATGTCTTAACATTATTCATTATATAGTTTTCTAAATTTTTAAAGATTTACTTTTTATGTTTAGGATTCATCTACTCTTAGTTGCTTTATATGTATGGGATGAGGAAGAAATATCATTATATTTAATTTTATAATAAGTATAACCACTTTTTCTAGCACCATTTAGAAGTTCATATTTCCTCACTAATGTGCAATGTACCCTGTATATATATCAAGTTCTATAAATGTACACATGTTTTATTTTATTTATTCTTGGTTGTGTTCTTTTTGTTTATTCCTTATCTCATTTCACAATTTTATAAGTCATTGAAAAAAGTTTATAATAATTTTTTTCATAAAAGCCCTACATATCTTTTGTCAATTCTGTTGCTATCTTAAATGGTATTTTAAAAAGCGAACTTTGTACTTGTGGTTAGTGTTTAATACTACAATTAATTTTTGTATACTGATTTAGTGCATTAAATACTAACATTTTATAGAATACTAACCTCATTTAAATAATTATGATTTATTAGTATTGTTTTTTTAGAATTTCCATACAGGCAATCATATTGATAATATTTTTTTCAGTACTTCTATTTCTTATTTATCATCATCAATATTATCTAAATGGTTCTCAACTGGTAAAAAATTTACACCTCAGGAACATTTGGAAATGTTTGAAGATATATTTGCTAGTTACAACTGGGAAGTGTGCTACACTAATAGAGTGGGTAGAGGCTAGGGATGCTGCTAAACATCCTGCAGTTCACAAACATGTCAAACTCATGGCCCCCGGGCTGCATGCGGCCCACAATGAATATTTTTACAGCCCAGCCAATATAACGGTATGTAAGAAACATTTTAATAAAAATTTTGTAACTTAATTTTTGCAATATCCTGTTATACATAATCCTATATAATAAAAGGCTAATATGCAAATTTTCCCCTTGGGAGTTTGACAGGGAGACGGGAGTTTGATCGCTTGCTGTGACGTGTGCTGACCACCAGGGGGCAGTGCATAACATGGCGGGTGACAGCAGCAGTGGTGGGGTGCTGAAGGAGCGAGGGAAGGAGGAGGCAGGGAGGCTGGGAGGCAGGGAACCTGATCGGCCCTGATCACCAGCCAGACCTAGGGACCCTACCCGCGCACGAATTTCATGCACCGGGCCTCTAGTTATTAACAAAGAACTGCAACATTCGCTAATGACTGATTACTATAATCATGTTGCATTTATTTCCCTTACACACAGGCACACCATTTCTCTCTACTAATACTAGCAGCGAATATTTTAGCAGCTGATTGCCATGTCATTAGTCTTGGACTGACTTGTTTGGTGTGTGCAACAGGAAATATTTCGCTTTTGGAGAACAAGAAAAATAGGTTTATTTGTGTTACCTTTATTAATTTGTGCAGTTATTCAGTGTCTGGTAAGTTAATGTTCAAGAAAAAATATTAATTTTTATTAAAATGTTCTATTATTTTATGTTAATGATTACACATTTATTTCATCCCTTTGTATTCAGCATGTCTCTATTGAAATAAATCTAAGTTTCTATGAAAATTGAAGCTTTTGTTTTTTTGTAGCCCACATAAACTTAAAAATCATTTATTTGGCCCATGTTAGCCTTTGAGTTTGACATGCTTGCTCTAGGACAAAGAATTATCTGACCCAAAATGTTGATAGGAATGAGGTTGAAAAACCCTGATCTAAAACTTCCAGTACACACTTGAATGCAATCATTTTATAAAAAGGAAATGGGTGTTTTCCAACATCTTACAGCTAAATGCCATGTTTCTTTGGGTTTTTAAAAGATGTCTTTTATTAGGAATGGTTGTTGACTTCTACAAATATTTACTCTATATTTATGAGATGTCACTTTTTAATATATTAATGTGGTGAATTGCATTAACTGATTTTCTAGTGGCTAAACTCCCCTTGCATGCCTGGAATAAACTCAACTGGATTATGATGCATTACATATTTAGTATATTTCTGTATATAGTTTGGCATTATTTTGCAAATATTTAGTAAGCCCTGTCTGTAAACTAATTCCACCTTATTATGTGCATTAATTATATCCTTGTCTTTAAATGCATATTGACCTGGTCTTTAGGCAAATCCACAACAATCTATTGAATTCTTAATGTTCCTGAAATGCAATTCTCAGTCAATAGCATTAATTAAAATGGTATTGAAACAAAGCCCATACTGAAACTGTTGCTTGTGTAACATGAGTAATTATGTGACTGTGTTTAATAAAGGAGTAATTAGGGACTATTCTTATTCCACTTTTCTCTGTTCCATAGGTTAGATTCTCTGGAAGCAGATGTTAAAACAGAGTTTTATATATACCTTTTTTTATTAGTGGTCAATATCTATGAAGAGAAGAGAGAACAGAATCTGGCATAGGAACAAAATTTAATGCAGGCCCAATAAAGCCTTGGCCTACCTGGAGGGAAGTGAGTCCTGTCCATCTCCTGTGGAGTTAAAATGGTTGAAGGACAGGCTCTCAGGAGAAGGGATATTTGCAGTTGAGACAAACTTGGGGAGCTGAGAGCTGAAGGCTCCAGGTCAAACACACTTCCCGAACTGGAATGACAAAATGCTCTCTTAAAGGATGTTCTGGGAGACTTACCTTCTGGTCTACCATACCTTTTATCCCTGAGAAGGAATATCTAGGATATCTATATCTATATCATCTATATCTATATCTATATCTATATCTATATCTATATCTATATCTAATCTATCTATATCTATATCATCTATATCTATATAGATATAGTAGATATAGATATATATAATTTAAATTCTTTATTGTTGAAAATATTACATATGTCTCCTTTTCCCCCCATTAACCTCTCCCCAGCCACTTCCACCACCCTCAGAACATGCCCTTGCCCCCCTACTCTTTGTGTCCATTGGCTATGCTTATATGCTTTCATACAAGTCTTTTAGTTCATCTCTTACACCCCCCACCCCACCCTCCCCTGCCTTCCCTCTGAGGTTGGATGGTCTGCTCAATGCATCTATGTCTCTGGTTCTATTTTTTTTTCATCAATTTATGTTGTTCATTATATTCCACAAATGAGTGAGATCATGTGATACTTATCTTTCTCTGACTGGCTTATTTCGCTTACCATAAGTGCCCATCAGCAGATGAGTGGATTAAAAAACTGTGGTACATCTACACAATGGAATACTATGCTGCTGTTAAAAAGAAAGAAGTCTTACCATTTGCAACAGCATGGATGGACCTGGAGAGATTATACTAAGCAAAATAAGGAGTTTTTGATATAAACAAAGGTTATGGAGATATAACAAAGGAGTTAAGTAAAGCTCTATGGTCTCAAATTTGGATCAAGGTGTCATATAAACTTAAAGTATTTTATCTCTGGGAAGTAAATACACCTCTTAGATTACTCTCAAAATATAAAACTAAGAAGAGATTTTCTGTGGAAAATTAGTATTTATGCTGTAGTTTTGGTAA